AATCAAGAGAAAAAAAAAGAACAGAAGAAAACAAAAGTTCAAAAGTACTTCAGTCTTCAGGAAGCCCTCTTCGCACTCTAGGCACATACGAAGCCCTTTGGGACATTCTTGCTGCAGACGTTAAGGAGCAGGCTTAGGGAAAGTGGGATGTCAAGGTTGATACCTAGAATGTTTGCTTTAATCGCGGTGCAAAGGCAAACAGCAGCCTCGAGGTCAGCAAGACCTTGAATCAATGTGCAGCATGGTTTCTTTGGAGGGTTACCAATAGTAATATTAAGCAATCCGCTAAGGACATTTGCACATACACCTAATTTTAGTGCATCCTTAGGGCATTTGCCTGGCTTTGGCTTTGGCTTTGGCTTTGGTTTTGGAGGACAACCGCCTCCACATGCACTAGCAAAAGTGAAAAAGAGAACGTTGAAACAAAGAAAGAGAGCAATAGCCCTAGTAGTGTTCATGGAGGCCATATCCAGAACTTGAAACAATTACTAAGAAAATGGGTAAAAGAAAGAAGGGTTCCGTAATTTGATGGTGGAGAACTTTTAGGTTAGGTGGGCTTTTTATAGCTTGCATGGATATTGATCCTCAGGAATATGAGTTAAAATTGAAGCACATAAAGAAAATTGTGATGGCCATGTGTCTTATAGGTACTTTAGCTGGCATGCCCGACAACATTCGGCATTTGGAAGCTTGCATGTGAACCGAGAATCTGAGCGGTTATTGCCTTTCTTTTTGTTTCTGGGCATTAGTTCACCTATGTGCTAAACTACAAGTTTGATAGAATTATTTGATAGTGTACGTACTATTGAAATCTTTTTTCTGGTTTGAGAATGTACGTAAGTTCTGCTGTATTTGACTGTACATTTTGGCAACTTGTCTTCTTTATAGTTTCTTCTTTCGAGGTCCAAAAAGAGATCTTGAATCAACGATGGTTGATGTGGAAAATTTTACGACAAAGAATATCCATTTTCGGGGTACTATTTATTCAACATCATCGAGAAATTGCAAAGTGTAACATTACCTAATTAAGTTAAAAGTGTTTAGTTGATGTATCCAGGGCAAACTTCAATATTTTGGATTTTACAACTATTATCAGTGCTAAAAAGATGTAGCGTTTAGATATATTTGAAGACATGCATCTGTGATCAAATATGTGGTAGAATAATCGACTCAAGCCAAGTTTCTTTGAAACGGCCAGGTCGATCAAACCATGGATTATGTGAAACCCACCGTATATATGTCCAGTGCTGTTACACAGCCAATTTATGTATAAAAAAAAAAATCAAATTCTTGGTTTTCTTGTATAATTGATACATCATTTGGTAATCGGTATACGAAAATCAACAATCCTGGCGAAACTGGAAGTCGAAAAAATTAGAGAAATACTCTAAAAACTGATAAAGGTAGTTCAGAACTCGTGAAATAGTTATACTAACAGACCTCCAAACATTCCAGCAATGTTGTGATCTTTTAATTGAATTTTGTTGTGTGTATTAGATTTCAACAATTGAATGATTACAGATTTGTTGTGTGTTTTAGATTTCAACAATTGAATGATTCTCTGCGACATGTTCCCCATTAATATTTGTGGCTAGCATTCTTGCCATCCGTTGAGAATCAAGTAATATTATTCTCCTTCGAAACATTTTCCTTTTCTTGTCTTTTGTCAAATTCAGTATATACATACCACACCTTATCTGCAAAGTCACCATCAAAGTTTGGATTACGCGTCGGTTTACCTTGACTTCAAATTAGTGCTGCTATAAACCTTCATAGCATCTTTCTGCAATAGGAGGAGATGCCATGAATCTCAAGTCTGGTTTGGATCACCATACAAAATTTGTTTTTGAAGCACCAAAAATAAAATGATGCTTATCAATACACGTATACATATTTATACACACCCAAAAAAGAAAAACAAAAGAAACTAGTTTATATAGGTAAAATGTTCAATATTCTGGCAGCTTCCAGCCCTCAATGGAAATCCCATATTTGTTGCTTGGCGTCTTCACTCGTTAGCTCCTAGCTAGCGTCCTGGAGTGTCACGGGCTGTATAAGAAACTAACAAGGGCTCCACCAAAATTGCATGTCGACGAGAATTTTACATCATTTGATGCTGATCAATGAAGATTTGTCGTTTAACTGCATTGTTTTTCTTCGTTTCACACTAACATGGTGCATTAAGTAGGTTTCAAAAAATCTGATATGGGAGCCATGCCCGATTAGTCTATTGAAGAGTAAGCAAATTGGTAGGCCAATTTGATGATTGTTTGCGCTAATTAAATGAAAGACCTATTTAAATAAAAACTAATCTTTTATACACTGACAGTGTATACTGTATACACTTTCATCATTGGATGTATGACACATAATCTGAATTTGAATTTGAGAATCAAATTTTGTATATGTGTCGTGCATCCAATTGTGATAGTGTATATACTGTCAATATATATAAAATTTACTTTTTAAATAATAATGATGAATCAGTTCTTAAATCGTACATCCAATCGTGAATCAGTCCTTAAATGGTTAAACGAATCTTAGGTAATCAATTTTTATTCATTGTACTTCATTCTTTGTGAAATGACATCATAAGGTCCTGATCCCTAACCAGAAAAATAAGTGGTCAGAGGACCAAATCATTCATTAAAGATCCAAATTTGATTTACTATTTTTGAATGCAGCATCAAGTCAAAATTCAGGACTAGTTGAGTGTTGATCTCCATAAATCCGCAAGTTGGATCCTAATTCCATTTGTTTTTGAGGTTGTAGACAAGTATCTCTTTTCCGTAAATTGTGATTCTTGCTGCTTTTAGAGGAAAAGTCTACTCTAAATTAGGTTTCATGAAGCTTCTTTTATCCCGGCTAAACTTCGTTGCTGCGAAAATGGTAGCCTAGGGTCGTAGCAGCACAGCCTGTACACAACAAAGAAAATCGCATGGTAATTCTTGACTGATACTGATTTTCTTAATCTTTACCTATTGCAATTAAGTTATGGTTTCTGTGCATGTACAGAAGAAATAGAATTATTTTTGACCGCCCAGACGCAGCCAATCGAAGTGGAGATGCTATCTAGAGATGGCAATGGGGCGGGGGACACCTCCCCCAACCCCTGCCCCGTTGCATTTTAATTCCCCCCGCCCCGCCCACTTCCCCCGCGGGGGCATCCGTGAAGTTAAAAAATTTTATTAAATAACTTAATTATAATTAAATTTGAGCAAATAATCAAGTTCTAAAATATCAACGCATCACCAAATTATTATTCATTGTAACTTCACAATTGAAACTCATAAAAATAATTAAACAAAGATTATTTGAATACAATATAATATAATAAAACAAATATAACTAAAATAATCAAGTTTTCACTTTTGATACAACTACAATTACTAAATTATTATTGTGTTTTTTTAGAAAAAGTGTTATTGTATTAAGTATAGTTAGAAATTTAATATAAATATATTAATAAATTTAGTATAAACAATTAATAATTTTTATTAATAAACATGTATAATTAGTAGTATAATTGATAATATTATTATATATATAATTATGTACATATATATATTTTAAACGAGGGGTGGGGCGGGGGAGTATACCCCCCTTTCTAAACGGGTGTAAAAAATTCCCCCCCGCCCCTGCCCCATCCCCCGCCCCAATGACCCCCCGCGGGTGCCCGCCCCCATTGCCATCCGGCCCATCCCTAATGCTACCATTAAGTATTTAGCAGGCCCAAGAAAAGTTTTGGAGCTGGGCTAACATGGGTTTTATTCAAGAGATCTTCCTAGCATCGGGCTCTCGCGCTTATGGCCAATTAGTTGCTGTGGACTCAATTATGGTTGCCAGAGAGAGATGCTCTCTTGACCGCCCACAGTTGAAGAACAGAGGTGGTGCCGCCTAATTGCCTGCACGTGTTTGGTTGGCCGCTGATTTACCTAAACTGGAAAAACAAAAGAAAAGGCTAGTGAATGAACCCAGGTCGACAGCGAGGAATTGTCGGTGGGTAAATCTGGTAGAACCATATTTTGATTGGCTGAAATGAATAATCCATCTGCCGACACAAGTTGGCTCAACTAGCAAAGACGGATCACTTCTACATAAAAGATCAAGTGTTGCATTCCGTTGTTGATATGAGAGTTATGTCGGTGCATTATTTGTAAGAACTCTTGTAAACGATATATAGTTTAGAGGCATATTCTAATCCGTGGTGGTGATTAGGGATGTAAACGAGTCGAATCGAATCGATCCAAATTTCAACTTAATTTTATGAAACTCGAACTCTCAATATAAATCTCGAGTTAAATTTTTTTTTTATTTTTAAAAAAATGAATAAAACAATAATTTTTCTTAACAAATAATAAATTATTAAGAATATATATAATTTTACTATTAAAATAAATAAATAAATATATATATATATATAATCGTATCGGCTCGCATGCTAACGAACTAAGTATTTTTGAATTTGATCTCGAGTTCGAGTTCTAGTTTGACTTGATCAACTTAAACTCGACCCGAACTCGGACTCAAGTTACTCGCGTGCAGTTCGATTCGTTTGCAACCCTAGTGGTGATTGAATCTAAATCCATCCAAGTATTTTTTTTACTCAAAAGAAAATGAATAATCCATCCATCCTAAATAAGCAAAAGAATGGCACAGACTTCTATGAGGATGTTAGTCACGGGATTGCCTTGTGCATATGTGCTTAGTTGTTTTTTTTTTTTTCGGGAAAAGTTTATGGTTAGTCTTGTGATACAACAAAAAATGATGTACCTAACACAAAAAATAAAAATTGCATACATTTAGCAGATTCTCTCGCAATTAACGAAAAAGCATTACTGGCCAGCCAGCCTTGATTCACATGTCTGAGATAACTTGGAAACTAGCTTGCTGTATAAATACCAGGCTTATTAGCCAATCTTAACCATCACATCAAACACCTGGATAAGCTTTTCGCAATTTAGTCACCCTATCTAGTTCCTATTATCAAAGTTTTGTGAGCAAAAAAATGGATTCGAAAAGATCCAAATCAACTGTCATTTTCCTATCTATTAACATTTTCTTCTTTGTCCTCGTAAGTGCATGCAACACACCATCTCCACCAATGCCAAAGCCAATTCCAAACCCAACCCCTACCCCAACTAAGGGAAGTTGCCCAAGGGATGCCCTGAAGTTAGGGGTATGTGCCAAGTTGCTGAGCATTGGAACTGTTATTGGAAACCCTCCAGATACTCCATGCTGCTCCATACTTGGCGGCCTTCTTGACCTTGAAGCTGCAATTTGCCTTTGCACGGCTCTGAGAGCCAACATTCTTGGAATCAACCTTAACATCCCTATTTCACTCAGCTTGCTCGTCAACACTTGCGGGAAAAAACTCCCCTCAGACTTCATCTGTGCTTAGGCTCCGCTTAGCTAGCTAGCTGCATAACTTTTGAGTTTTTCCGCTGTTTAACTTAATTACTTGATTTCCGGTTTCCCAAGTGCTCAATAACTCTTACATTGAGATTGTCATACTTCTGATCGTAATTCTCAAGTTCTCATTGTGTTATATTTATTTTCTATGTTTTTGGAGCTTGAACGCTTGATTGCTAGAGGTGTTAAGTAACGTTTATATTTTATTTTTCTTCATTTCGACTTTGCTTAGTCGATTCCTTGACTTTCTAGTGCTTAGCACTTTGGTCCTTCACTACTTTTGAAATTTGTTTCCTTTTCTTTTTTACGCGAATTATGGGCTACTCTTTAAAAATATATACGTAAATAATATAGTATACTATTTTATAAATGATAAAAAATCTAAGATGTAGTTGGTAAGGTTGAAGCAAAACATCTTTGCATGCAAAATAAAATAGGGAAAAAAAAATCTTTGCATGCGTACTTATTTAAAACAAAACAAAAAAAACTGAAGGCACGTGAATCATTTGACCGAGCTAGGCCAAGTTGGGTTCCTAGGACCATTATGCAGATTCTGCCCTGCCTAATGAAAGGACATAAGAGGCCAAGAGTTTTCTACCTGACTAGCGCATTTTCCGAACGGGCGATCTTCGACGCAAGGAAAGCGAGTACTCGAATGCGATAGCATGCGAATTCCTTGGATCAGGCCTGAAAATAACGAAAATATATAGCATCAGTAGATTATTCTTTTCACGTAGGAAGGAGAAGGAAAAAGAAAAGGGTTTTTGTATCATCAGAACTAATTTAGTACTATGAAATATGCTTTTAAGCTCGTTTTTTTAATCAATGCATGGAATCAGTTTGGAAGAGGGGAAGAATCAGACAGCAGCAGTAGTGCAATACCAATAGATGTTGCAAAGATAAATTTCTCATAGACACAAACATAAGGGTTAATTACACTTTTCTCCTCTAAACTTGGCCCTTAGTAACACTTTGTCCCCTGACCCCCAACCCCCTCTCCTCCAATGACAAACTCCAAATTTATACACTTTATCCCTTGTGGTTAACTTATTGACAGGATTAAAATAAAATTATATTTTACACAACTACAACATCCCCAGCTCATTCATAAACACATGTAACATTTGTGACATAATAAATATCCATTTTTTCACTAGGTACTAAGGGGCGCAATCAACTCGCGAGCGGCTTGGTAAAAAGCTTGGCTCGAGCTCGAGCTACTCGTTACATTCAACGAGTCGAGTTCGAGCTCCAAAAATAAATACTCGAGTGCTTGACGAGCTTAATCGAGTTTTTATATTATATTTATATTATATATTTTGAAAAAAAATTATAGATTTATTCCAAAACTCAAACTCGAGCTCGAGTAGATCGGACTTGTTATTTACTCGAGCTCAAACAAGTCAAGCTCGAGTCTAAATTTTTTTACTCGTCCGAGCTTGAGTAGCACTGATTCTGATTGAGCTCGAGCTCGAGTATGGTGCTACTCGAGCTCGACTTGGCTCGATAGTACCTCTAACTAAATCCATTTAAACACAATAACACAATGTATTTGCTCTTTCAATAATAAAAAGAATTAGAAAATCTACAAAAAAAAATTAGCCTAAATAGATCAATATTTTTATCTCAATATTGATAGCAATGCTTGTTTTAGATTAAATAAAGTTAATTAGTGCATTTAGAATGAAAATTATTTGATAATTAATTTTTGAAATAGTGTAGAATCCAAAATATATATATATATATATATATATATATATATATATATATATATATATATATATATATATAAGGAAGGTATGATTGTGGATCTTATTGATTCGTAAGAATGTTGTGAAAATTAAAAGGAAAGCAAAAATTATGATGCCAATCCATTTATAATTTAGAGAAAAAAAAAGAGAAGCAATGAAAAACTAGTGTAAAAAGTTTTGAAAATTTTAAATTCTTTTTTAGTCCAAAACAAAATTTTCGATTCTTTGTTTTACCATCTTTTCTTTTTTTATATATATATCATGTGACTCCACATTTTTTCTAATAAGATATTTCATATTTTGACTAAAAGGATAGCATTATTCCACAATCATTATGTATGGATATTAATTTTATTTTGTCAAAAATTTAGATTAAAAATTCATCATTAACGTTTGACTAATCAATGAAGGGGATAATGTGTATATATCTAAATTCAGGGGGGTAAAGAAAGGGAGAGTGGAGGAGAAAAAGAGAGTAGTGGTGAAAAGAGAAAGATGACGCGGTCTAGTCTCGCCTAAATCGGATAAGAAACAGGAGGTAAGTAATAGGTAAGGGAAGAGAGAATAGTGAGGACATAAATAGAGGAAAAAGAGAAAGAGGAAAAGAAAGAGAAAGATGGTGGCGAGGAAAAAGGAAAGAAGAAGGAGAAGAAGGTGTGGCGAAAGTAAGAAGAAGAATGGTGGAAAAGGTGGGGATGATGGTCATGGGAAGATGTGGAATAGTGAGGGAGAATCGATGTGCAAGAGGAGGAGGAATGTGTCTTTTTGAAGTATGTTTTTATAAAAATTGAAATGTTTTAATAAGGTACCGTAACTAAGGGTGCGTTTGATATAACTGAAATTTAAAAACTAAAATCTGAAATTTGAAATCTGAAGTCTAAACCTATTAAATTATTGAATTGTTAAGTATTAAATCTAATACATTTGAGTACATATCACAGTCAGTGATAATTGAATAGCTTATCACTTAATTTTGAGAGTAAATTTTGTCTTGAAAATTCAGTACCATTTAATTAATTTAGATATTCAATTTTTGGTTGTGAAACAGTCTGAATATGTTAAGATCTGATTCCATTAAATTTAAGTGTTGAATTGGATTACAAATAGGATCTAAATAAGACTCTGTCTATCAAAAATCAAATCAGATTTTCGTTGCCACTTAATCAGTCGCAATTCAGTGCCACTTATTCATTCAACACCAAGTGTCCAGTTAATCTAAATTTAAATCAAATATCACATGGTAATTTAAATTAATTGGATACTTGGCATAATTTTAGATGTGACACTGAGTTACAACTGATAAAGTGGCACCGAGCATCTCAATTGATCAAAAATAGGCTAAAATACACCTAACAGTCGCACCTTTAATTGCATGTTTGCTACAAACCCAACTAGAGAAAAAACTATTTTGCGGATGAGTCTTACAGTGTAGATCCGTATTCCGTATAGACAAGACATGGCCCAATTGCTTTTCTATGTTTTTTGGGTTGGGCCTAAGTCTTAGATGTGGCCATGAAAGTTGTTTGAAATACATAAGCATCCTTCGTTCATTTTTTGAGCAGAAGAAACTAAAGGCCCGAATTGAACCTCTTTTTTTTAAAAAAAAAAAAAAAAATCTTTTGTTTGCTTCTTGCTTCTAAACTAGTCGGTAACACCAGTTGGACCATTTGGCTCACTAGGTTATTTCTTTTTGTTTTCTTATCTTTCCCTCCTTTCTCCATTTTTTTTACCTGTCTTTGTTTCCTTACTTATTTTTTCTTTTTAAGAAATTATCATTCATTTCAAACGTCAAAAAGATCTCATTTGCAACCATCATTTACTAGCGAGGACGGCAACAGAAATTTGCTGATATTACTTCTAGGTATCACCAATATCATGTTGGCATCCAAGCGTTTTTGAAATATCAAATACGCAACAATTTAATAACAAGCACATTGCAAGTATGAAAAATAAATGACATACAAAATTTAACATGATTTGCATCCATCATTGAGTTTACATCTACGGAAAGAAAATTCATTCTTTATTATGAGAAAAAAATTTTATACAATAATACAATTTGAATTCAAACTCAACCCTTGTATACTGTCTCTTATTTTTCAAGAATCCTCTCACATCTCATGTATAAAGTTACATATCACCCTTATGTATCACTTTGTAGTATAACAACTCCTACCTATTTATGAGATACATTACTTGGCCAACACTCAAGTAATAATAGGAAATAATTTCGAATTTTTAAATTCACACAAATAGGATAAAACTTGACAATTACTCCAATAACTAAACAATTAAAAAACTAATTACTTACATATAAATTAAGAAATTTGCTTAAAAGAAATAAAGTCAATTTCCTAACATATCACCTACCATAACTTTATAAACTTTGAGAATTCAGTTTCCTCAAGAATTGCTATTATCACACATACGCATTATTCTAATGGTGCTAAAATCTTGATAGCTGTCGTAGATTTCATTAATTGCGACCGATATGTTAAAGGTTTTAAAATTTTCAGTGAGTTTTTCTTGAAATTTGCGGACACAAGGAGAGTGAGTACTCCAAGGCAATACTATTTCTTTTTAGAATTAGAAGTCGCTTCACCATAATCTCTTCTGAGCAATCAAAGTACAAAACAAATTCGGGTTCAGTCTTCATAATATTGTCAAATCCAATCCGGTTTTCTTCACTTGAAGGAAACCCGTCGATAAGAAACTTGCATGTTTTGTTGCGGCTTTCCTCCTCCATCTCCTGTTGTATGAGCTTGACTACCAACTCATCTGAAATAAGCTTCCTTCCGTCTTCAAAGCTATAATCATGGCTCCGTTTTCAGTTCCACATTGAACTTCCCTTTCAAGTTTCAAGTAGCTCACCGACGCTGAGATTGACAATTTTGGAGCATTGCGTACCTTTTCCAACGCCTGGTCCGCCCAGTAAAAAAACTACTACTTTGTGCTCTATCAATAATAATTGGACAAAGGTTGGAAAATCGTTCTGAAAAATTGCTTCGTATTAAAAAATTTTCTCCATCAAAAAATTTTGAGGTCAATGAATCCAAAGCAGATAAAAGAACCGTGTACGAATAATGATATATGTGAACGCAAAGTCCAATTGGATTAGGAAGTCTAATTGCAATTTGTGATAGTAGTATAATTGACGTACAAGAATCCTAATTGTAATGGTTATGTAGATGTTATATGATGAATCGCCAAAAACTTAGGCCTTGTTTGGATTGCTTGTTTTCGTCGGAAAATATTGTCGTTTTTCGTGATCACATTTTCCTATCACCTTTTTCCCTCACATATATCAAATCGCTACAGTAATTTTTCCATGAAAAATGACGGAAAATGCAATCCAAACACAATTTTAGAATAAGCAGAGTTCCA